CCCTCCCATTTCTCAGACCTCAGCAGTATCTTCTGGCATCTATCTCCGGGAACCCTGGATGGAGTCTGTGCCCCATCCCGGCCTCCTTCTCAAGCCCTTATAAGCTCCACCTTTGCAGCATAGGAACCTGAGTGTGAGGGAAACAAAACAACCCTCTTCCAAACTGGAGAGATGGCTTAGCAGTTTTAAGAGCCCTAGCTGCCTCAGAGGACGCAGATTGGATTCCCAGCATCCATATAGTAACTTACAACCACCAGCTCCAGTTCCAGAAAACCAGCCACTCTCTTCTGACCTCCTTGGCCATTGCACCCACATATATACATGCAGGCAAACACTCATACACATAAAATTAAAAACAATCCTCAGTGAGTCCACATCATTGACTCTGCCTCCTCACCCACACAGGGCACAGATGTCATCACGCTTCTTAACACCGTGCACTATGACTCCGAACAGTTCAAGACGCCTCGGGAGTTCAATCCCGAGCATTTTCTGGATGACAATCAAGCCTTCAAGAAGAGCCCTGCCTTCATGCCATTTTCGGCTGGTAAGAGATGGAGTCACTCTTTTAAACCATAATCCTAACTCTACTCTCCAAGCCCTCTCAATCCCATCCCATTCTTAGCTTTGCTGTGCAGAGATTTCCTTTTCCAATTTGGCTCATCTAACACCTGGGTGGAAGCCAATTAATTTAAGAATGATTATTATCAGACTCTCCACTAGGTGGCGAGGCTGGTTCTGGTTTTCCTTAACTCTACCTTGCCTGGTTGGCAGCGCAGGAGGAGGAAGGGGGCCGGGAAGGGCGGGAGTCCTCTTGACTCAGCAGGGAGAAAATGAGGGGGGATAACGTTACCTTGTTGTCTTTTGTGTGCCAGCTGCTGCCTCTGAAAGGGGCAGCGGCTGAGAGTTTGGCCCCGTGGGCAGATCATACTGGATTGCATCCCGGCTGTGTCCCAGCTGTGGGAACGTTCAAATACAGGATTTGAACCCAGACAATTGCACTCCGGCAGCTGGCAGCTACTTCGGCTTCATTTCCCCCAAAAATTTGATGCCTTTGTCAGTGATATCCCCAGCCGTTATCTTCAAACCCACATATTTTCCTCTGAGCATATGGGGGTGCAGCCCCATACTCTAACTTCACCGCTGCTCTTGGCCCTCCCACCCACGCAGGACGTCGACTGTGTCTGGGGGAGCCACTGGCGCGCATGGAGCTCTTCATATACCTCACCTCCATTCTGCAAAACTTCACGTTGCATCCACTGGTGGAGCCCGAGGACATCGATCTGACCCCGCTTAGCTCAGGGCTGGGCAATCTGCCGAGGCCTTTCCAGTTGTGTGTGCGCGTTCGCTGAGGTCCGTGCCCAGGGAATGCTCTGTCCCTCTTCCCGTTGGTTTCACTGTCATGGGCCTCCATCAGTGTCTCTATCACATTCCCTTCCCCAAACCCTGGGCCTGCCACATATCGGTCCTTTATCCCTCCTGTCTTTAAAGCCTTTCTTCATGGAGAGAATGACATGACGAAAGAGGAATGCACATCTTATACCCACAGAACCTATTCTGTAATGTACTCCTTTCCAGGCTTCTCGTATCATTTCCTAATAAATATCTTGACAATAGATTTATACCTGACTTGGCTGAATTAATAGATGAGAAAAACCCTTTAGGGCAGTGGTTCTCAATCTGGGGGTCGAACGACCCTTCAACAGGGGTCGCCCAAGACCATCTGCATATCAAACATTTACATTATGAATCATAACAGCAGCAAAATTACAGTTATAAAGTAGCAGCGAAAATAATTATGGTTGGAGGTCACCAAAACATGAGGGGCAGTATTAATAGGTCACAGCATTAGGAAGGTTGAAAACCATTGCTTTATGTTGAGGAAGAGGAGGTCTGGATGCAGAGAGGGATGGAGACAAGCTCATCATAAGTCCCGACTACCCTAAGCCCCTCCTGGAGTCACGTGTTGCAAAGTCAAAAGACTTGTTTGAGCTACAGATTGAGTTCAAAGCCAGCTTAACTAGACTTTGTCTCTTAGTTAAGTTTTTAGTGTTGAAGATATATCTCGCGGATATATCTTGTTCACATGTATGATGCTCTTGGTCCGTACAGCAAATAAGGGGAGTGGAGAGATGCTAGTGTTTTCTAGAGACCAGCTGGAAAGATGTGGGGGCCTAAAGACAGAGAGGCAGAGAAACCAAGAAAGTGGGAAAAGTCTACCAGAAGAGATACCAAGCAGGGGCCTGTGGGATTGAAGCCAGAGAACCTGAGAGCCTGAGAAACAATTGCAATCACTTACACTGTGCTTCCTAAGGAAACAGTTCTAAGTGACACCTTTAACTGGCCCTATGGAACAAAGAAGTGTTGTTATTACCTGTTCACAGAACAAACTGAGACTCAGAAAACTGAGATGGTTTGCCCAAGATCACAGTGTCAGAAATGAGTAGAGCTGGGCTCTGAACACTGATGCAATGGCCACAGAGAATGTAGTTCTAACCACTGCCTTTTAATAAACCAGAGGAGAGCAGAGGAATGCAGAGCAGCAGAGGAAAACATTGTCAGACACAGAAGAAAACAGAGAGATAAAGAAAAACAGGAACAGGAGAATTGGCTCAGCAGTTAAGAGCACTTGCTGCTCTTCCAAAGGACCTGGGGTTTGAGTCCCAGTACTCATATGGCGGCTCACAACGGTTCACTTCAGTTCCAGGGGATCTGACACCCTCTTCCAGCCTCTATAGGCACACAGACATAAGTGGAAGCAAGACAGCTGTAGATAAAGTATTTTGCTTGTTTGGTTTTGTTGTCGTTGTTTGTTTCCCATTTTTTGGTTTTTTGGTTTTTTTCCATACAAGGTTGTTGTGGAATGGTCTGTATGTTAAATTGCTCTGATTGGTCAATAAATAAAACACTGGTTGGCAGGAAGTATAGGTGAGACTAACAGAGAGGAGAATTGAGAGAACAGGAAGGCGGAGGAAGACACTGCCAGCCGCCTCCAAGACAAGCAGCCAGTAAAGATGCCAGTAAGCCACGAGCTACGTGGCAAGGTATAGATTCATAGAAATGGGTTGATTTAAGATGTAAGAACTAGATAGCTAGAAGCCTGAGCCATTAGGCCAAACAGTTTAAATAATACAAGCGTCTGTGTGTTTATTTTATAAGTGGGCTATCAGACTGCCGGGACTTGGCGGGAGCTGGAGAGAAATTCTCCAGCCACACAAGGTCTCACTGTGTAGCCCTGGCTGTCCTGGATGGAACACACTCTGCACACCAGGCTGGCCCCAAACAAAAAGGCAGGTAGAAGAGCAAAGACCTGGAAATCCAGGTCCACAATCTCAGCTACTCCAGAGACTGGGGCAGGAGGATCACTAATCAAATCCTGCCTGGCTACAGACTGAATTCAAAAGTCATCCTGGTCAACTTAATGAGATTTTGTCTCAAAAAGTAAGAGGGCTTGGAAGCTAAGTGCAGTGGCCCATGTCTTTAATCCCAAAACTTGAGAGGCAGAGGCAGGCAGATAGCAATGAGTTCAAGGCCAGCCTGGTCTATATAGTGAGTTCCAGACCAACCAAGGCTACATAGTGAAACCCTGCCCCATCTCCCAGGAGAAAAAAAAAGGTTTGAAATGTTCCTCAACAGTACAGAGCTTGCCCAGAGTCCACCAATGAGGGCTTGAGGTATGGCACAGTGGTAGAGTACTTGCCCAGAATTCACCTGTGATGGAATAATGACGTGGCTCAGTAGTAAAGGACTTGCCTAGAATTCCCCAGTGAGGGGCTGGGGTCCTCACTCAGTAGTAGAGCACCTGCCTAGAATCCCCCAGTAAGGGGCTGGGGGTGTGGCTCAGTGGTAGAGCCCCTGCCTAGAATCCCCCAGT